AAAAAAAAAAAAAAGCTTTGTTAAATTTCTCCCTGTCTGTAGCATTTAGTTTATATTATGATACAAAGGTGATATTTCCTTCCTTTAAGTGCGTTTTTCTGTTTGAATTCCTTTAGGCAGGTAAAAGAGGGGGTGGGGGGGAGGTCAAATGTTCTTTCTTAGTCTTTTGTTTCTTAATAACCTACTTAAAATCACTATCCCGAAAGGCATATTTTGGGGTGGCAAAATTTGGTCTTCCTCACCTTACAAGAGCCTACCCTGATCTGGCTCCCCATTACCTCTCTGCTGTCATCTCGTACTACCTTCTCCCTTACGTATTCCACCCCACCACAATGGCCCCAGTACCGCTCTGAAAACAGGCCAGTATTTGGGTATGCTCTATAAAATCCTTTCAACTTTGTTGTATGTTTGAAAATTTTCATAATAAAATGTTGGGGATAAAATTGAATTCAGGTCCTTAGTCGTCCTGATCTCCCCCATCATGCTCTTTATTTTTCTCCTTAGTACTTCTCACCTTTAAAAAATCTTTATTGAGATATAATTCATATATCATATGATTCACCCATTTAACATGTATAATTCAGTGGTTTTTGAGATACTAATTTTTAAAAATTGTAAAATATATAACATAAAACTTTCCATTTTTAAGTGTACAGTTTAGAGGCATTAATATATTTACAATCTATCACCTTTTAACATACTACATATTTTATTTATTTTTAAGAAAAATAAAGTATCAATACTCCAAACTAGAATGTAAGCTCCTTGTGGGCAGGAATTTTGGTCTACTTTGTTCATTAATGTATCCAAGTGCCTAGAATAGTATCTCTTACAAACCAGGCACTCAGTAAATATTTGTTAATGAAGAAAAGGTACTAGATAATTCTCCCAGGTCTCTTGTTACATTGACATCTAAAAATGAACATCTATGAAAGCATCAAGATCCATAAATACAAATGACTTATGAGAAACAATCTAATAAATATTCCATTTATTCATCTTAAGTATGCTCCAAGTTTCAAGTTAAAGGTTACATGCATGCAGTACCATTTTACATAATCATATATAATGTAGGGATCGATTTTTATAAAAAGTTTGTCATGCTCTAGAACCTTGTTACTTAAAATAGTGGTCTGACACCAGCAGCATCAGCAGCATCTGGAAGCTTACTAGAAATGGTGAAACTCAGTCCCTACCCTCAAATATGCTAAAATCAGAATCTGTATTTTATTAAATTCCTGAGATTCATATATGTACTATCAAACTGTGAGAAGAACTGCACCAGAAAATTGCCTTAGTAATTGTACTGTTCTGGTCTCCTAGAACCTTCTTTAGTTTTTGCCTACTATATTCAACACAATAAATTTTATATATCCATATAAGGAAATCATGGTGTATGTGAATGATA